CCTCCTCTTCTGTATACATATATATATATATGTTATATATAGGTACTTAGGCTCGGAAACAGTGTAGGGAGAGGGGCAGATGGAGGGTCTTGGTGAGCACCCAAGGCTCACAGACGCCATGCCCCAGAACGACGAGCAATGTAATGAAGGGCGGTTTAGGGGTTGAGGGGTTTAGGGTTTAGGGTTTCGGGTTTAGGGTTTAGGGGTTTAGGGTTTAGGGGTTTAGGGTTTAGGGTTTAGGGCCTACATAATTGCCTATACTATTCTTTGGTATTCCTTCTGAGAATTAATGGTATCGGGGGCCCCAAAACCCCGATTCTAATTATTAAGGCCACTACTTTAACCTTCAAGCCTAGAAGTGCCAATAAGACAGAAAGTAAACCCCTACACCGCAAATTCCACAGCCTCAGCCAAAGCACAAAACCCGAACCTCAAACCCCAGAACCCCTCAACCTCAAAATCCGAGAATCTAAGACCACTTATGCCACAGCCCCGGAAGTGTTTGTAGGTGATCAAGTTGCTGCTGGCGGCCCGGGCCGACAAAGATGCGGTCGACGCCAAGGAGTTCGGGCCCTGATTGTCGGTAACCGCTTTTGATCCGGACTGCGGGGGTGAGTCCGCAGTTTTTGTTTATGGCTTCCGGGTTTAGGGTTGGATTTAGGGCTTTAGTTAGTGTTCAGGCTTTGGGGTTTTTCAGGTTTTGGGTTGGGTTTAGGGCTCTGGGGTTAAGGCTTCAGGGTTTTCAGTTTAGGCTTTAGATTGGGTGATGGTATTGGCCCCGAAGGGCCAGAACCCTCTCAAGCTGATAAGCTATGGCTATGATGCTTGAAGGTGGCTTTTTAGGTCCCTCAAAGGGTATTTTTTCCCTTCGGTTCCTTAAAAGACTAGACCAAACAAGGAGCCCTTGTGATTCCGAGCTTACTGGGATCCTACTCCTGGTTCTGGTTCTGAGTATGCATCCTTTCATTTTTGGGGGGATTTGGGGGGCTCTTACTCAGCAAGTTACTTCAACAAGCGGATTTTCGGTCTGGACGGAGAGGAGGTGAGGCCGAAAACTGCGCGATAGAATCCTAAGCCTTGGAGCCCCACTCCTTCCAGGGCTTAAGGTTCAGGGTTCAACTGCGAGGGCACGGTTTAGGGTTCTCAATTCAAGGCAAAAGAGACAAAACGACTTGGAGCCTGGTCTCCGGAGATCGCCTGCTTAAGCTCAGTGTCTAAACTAGGGGCCTTAATAATTACCTATACTATTTTGGGGGCTGCTTAAAATTATATGTAGAAAGAAAAGAAAACCCCAAGACCCTATTCTAATTAGTTTGACCCCTATATTAGGGTGCGGAGGCTTGGGTTACGGCGGTTTAGGTTGTTTTGGTCGGGCTTCACCGGTTTCTGAACGAACTTGGGGCATGGATCTTTAGGGGAGAGTTGTTGAGGGTTTGGGGTTTAGGATTTAGTTTTTAGGGTTTAGGGGTTGAGGGTTAGGATTTAGAGTCTATGTTCCAGGGTGGAGGGCCCTTTGCAGAAGCTTTGGGATTGAATGGGGTTTAGGGTCCCTGTCACAAGTGGCTAGGGTGGAAGGCGGGGGTGTGCAACATGGCATCCAAACCCTAAACCCTAAACCCTAAACCCTAACCCTAAACCGTTTCCAAACCACTGTGGCAGCTTTTCGCTCAACCCAGTGCATTGCTAGAATCAATCTTTCCCTGCACCAAAACCCTATTCTACTTCTGGCGGCCCCTATATTAGTTTGCCTCGGAGCCCTACAACTCCAGGCCCCCGAACGGGTTTAGGGCAGTTTAGGGTTTATCCAAAGTTGTATTCCGCTACCCTAACACTCTCCAAGCCCTCTCAAACTATAGACCCCAAGCGGTCTCATTGGCCCTAAACTCCTAAACTCTAGACTCTAGCCCCTAAACCCTCAAACCAGACCCACTGTGTAAAGCACCCCAGCCATGGCCCATGCGGGCGAAGAATCCGCCCTCAGCGACGATTCCTGTCAGCACCTCTCCGACGACACAGCGCCGGACATCGAAATTGCACGGCGTTTTGGATTTCTATAAGGAGCCCATTAAGGCTTACTCTGAGGATAAGGGCTGAAACCAGAGTGAAAGGCCCTTCAGGCTGAGCCCTAAGCCAACCCTCAAACCTGAACCCTCTAATGTAGAAGCCTAAAAAGGTTACCAATAGCATTCCTTAGGGTTCCTTGTCATATAACATATGAAGATAGAGAGATAGATAGATAGATAGATAGATAGATAGATAGATAGATAGTATTGGGGGGGACAAGACCCTATTCTAATTATCAGGGCTCTCATCTTACTATGAGTAAGCCCTAGAGAAGGTTGTCAGGTATCCGTGAGTCTCGGTCCTGAACAGGCTAATGAGAGCCCGAAACCCTCAGCACCAAACACGAAATCCTGTTAATATAATCTCAAACATCTTCAAACTCTAAACTCTAAACTCTAAACTAAACCTACACCCAAGAACAACAAAACTAAGCATTTATACTATAATATGTAGATACATATGTATGTATCTATTTATGTATATATATATATATATATAGAATATGAATGCCCTTACAGCCCTGGACCTCTATACTCACTAAGCCCCATGCGGAGGTATCCCTGGGCCTCGGTCCTCAGTGCGTGCGCGACGCTGCCACACGATGCCGAGGGTCTCTTCTTCGGCAGCGGTGGCTTGGCTATCCATTTCGATGTTTTTGTCTCGATGTTTTGGGGTTTTGGGATTTGGGGTTTCGGATTAGGGTTTCAGATTTTTGGGGGTTCATTATTCGGGGTTTAGGGTTTCGAGTTTGGGGCTGTGACGGGTTTTATACGGGTTGTCAAGAGCTTCTACAAGGGTTTGAGGGGGGTTGTTCCAGAACTTGCATGTGTTTTTAGGGTATTGGGATTCTGCAGGGCTTTGGGCTGTTCCAGGGTTTAGGAGTTTAGGCTCTTGAGGGACCCTAAACCCTAAACCTTAAACCCTAAAGGGATTAAGAGTCTAGGGGAGGTGGGGTTTCAAATCACCTCCCCAAGGCCCGAAGAGAGAGAGACCAATACTGATTCAAGACTGTTTAGATCTGTTTAGGCTTTAGGGCCTTTAGGGTTTTGGGTTTTGGATGCTTTAGGCCCTAAACCCTAAACCCTAAAACCTTAAACCCTAAGCCCTAAAGCCCTAACCCCTAAACCCTAAAACCCTAAGCCCTAAACCCTAGACCCTAAAACCCTAAAGCCCTAAACTTCAGGGTTTTCTTCAGCCCCGACCTTTCCGGATCCAATCGAATCCAGAAGCCCGACACCCAAACCCCCAACAGTTTCGCTCGGCAGGTTTTTACATGGCCCTTGAGGCGTGTAGGGTTAAGGGCTTAGGGTTTTAGGGTTTAGGATTAGGGGTTTCGGGTTTTAGGGTTTTGGGTTAGGGGTTTAGGGTTAAGGGTTTCGGGTTTAGGGTTTATGGTTTAAGGTTTAGGGTGAAGTGAAGGGTTTCTAGGGACGAGTTTAGGGTTTATGCTAAGGCTCCAAAGGACCCAAAAAGAAGGTACTGGTACAGAAGTTTCAGATAGTCGTTATGTAGGTTACTATCTGGGCAACCCTAAACCCTGAACCCTAAAACCCTAAACCCTAAACCCTAAATCAATATGATTAGTAGGTACTTGGACCCTTCAAGTTATCTATCCTCTATCCTCTCCAAGGCCCTATCAAGCCTAGGCCAAGACATAGAGTCTCCATTGTAGTTGCTGTTTTTGGGGTTTCAATCAATCTTATACTTGGGGTTCTATAAGCTAACCCCAAAACGGAAAAGAATTGGAGACTAGGTATGTTTCGTAGGAACTGATAAACCCTTCTGCCCCACTTTAAAGCCCCCAAAAGTCAGAAAATCTGAAGCAGAAAGGTAAATCCTAAACCCCTATATCCCTTAACCCCTAAACCCTAAGCCCTAAAAGGTAAAACAAAGCAGAGAAAGACACCGCAAAGCCTTCTTCATCCGAAGGTGAGCTGATCACTTCCTTCCTGGTCCTGGGCGTCGCGGGCGATTCGACGAAGTCGACGCCCAAGGGCACGACCCTCGCCAAAGCTGCGCAGGATGCGTCGGAGGCGTTTCTAGGATAGAAGCCGAACCCAGATGAAGTAAACCCTCTCAAGCTGTCGACCCCTCAAGCCCTAAACCATCCTGAACCCCAGACGCGAGACCAGCAGCTCGAAGCCCCCTTAAAGCTCAAGCCCTAAAACCCAAAACCCTACAACCAAGACCCTAAACCCTGTCGGCCCTATACACCTAAGAATGCCCAATAATACCCACCTTCTTCGAGTCTTCGAGGAGCTCGTCGACAGGAAGGCGGCCGGAGGTCTGGAATTACTGGGCTGGGTCTCCCTGCGGATCCTCGACAAAGGCTTTAGGATTTAGGTTTGAGAAAGGTTTAGGGGTTTAGGGTTTAGGGTTTAGGTTTGAGAGCTTAGAGCTTCTGGATAGTGTTTAAGAGTTTAGGGTTTAGGATTTAGCGCACAAGGGGTTCCTTTAATTAAGGGTTCCACTACGGATAGTTCTGTGTCTAAGCGTTCTGTTGCGGGTTACTAGAAGGGGGTTATGAGGCCCTTCAAAATTATTGAAAGGGTTTAGTTTAGGGTTCTTACAGTTGCTGAGGATCAGATCTAGGAGTCGAACACACATACAAGCATATATATATATATAGACAGCTGCATATCAATGTGTATATACATACATATACATATATATATATATATATGTTATCCGCATGTACATGAGAGGTCTCACTTGATGGTCAGAGTTTGGGGTGTGGGTCTTGGGGCAAGTATATATAGGTTTTGATGGTTGGAATTTATTGTTTTGTAACGGTGGCGTATATTTTGGTATGTTATACAGGGACTGCAAGATGGCTTTTTACGGGTCGGAATAGTAAGCGATTCAGTGTAGAGGGCTTCGGGCAGAAGGGTTCCGGCTTGGGAGATAGCATATAGGGGGTTGGGGGTTTGGTTTGGAAGGATTCCGAACTTCGAGGGTCAAACTTCATCTCATTCATCTCCCTAGACCCTAGGCCGTAAACCCCAAGCTCTAGGCCCTAAACATCTCTGAACCCTAAAACAGCAACTACTATCATCACACGCTTGCCGGGGCTACTTGAGAGGTGTCGGTTGAGACTTGGACACTGTAGAGGCTCGAAGAGTTAGTTGTAGGGTCTCGGAAAATAAACAGCACTCATGTCCCCCCTAAGGTTTGGAATGTAGTTTTACTGGAATACCCCAAAGCCCTATTGTAGCGATTCAGTCCCCTTGCTATTTCCTTCAGTGATGCTGGAATGTGGTTCAGAGCAACAATCGAGTTCTTGAGGCCCCTGCGCTGAACCCTAGAGTGTAGGCTCAGGCCTAATGAGCGGGAGGATTGTATAGGGTCATTCCCTTAAACCCAAACCCAAGGGTTCAGGGATCAGTGAGGGATCAGTCGATCAGGATTTTGGGCTCTAGGGTTGTAGGCGCTGTCGTAGAGTTTAGAGCCTAAGAGACCCCAAACCCCAACTGCTAATGATACCTAAACCCTAACACCCCAACCTCGAATGATACCTAATTAAGCCTTATAATCCTACATCCGAACCCCGTATGTTACGCCGCTAAAATTTTAGGAGACTGGTTCAAGGACGAACCCTTATCCTTACAACACTAAATCCAAGCCCCACACTTTCCTAAACCTGCAACCCGCGGGCGCAGAAGCTGTAGGGTTTTATAGAGTTTAGGGGTTTAGGGTTTCATAAGTTTTATAGGATTTAGGATTTTAGGGTTGAGGGTTAAAGTTTAGAGGTTTTTTAAGGCAGAGGGTTTAGGGCTTAGCTGATCCAGCTTCCCACATTCCATAGTGTGCAGGAGCCAGGAACTCTAAACCCTACCCTTAACCTAAGTCCAAGACCCTATAACCCGAGAGGGCTAGAGGAAAGGAGCTCAACAAATTAAAGGCATAACCCCACTTCAAACTTTCCAAAACCTAAACCCCTGGCGATGGATCTGGATTGCACAGGCAGTCGAGCAAACATGCGCCACAGACTTTCAGCCCCCAGAAAGGAAGGGGTCCTACGGAGACCCTCTACCCTGAGATCTGTAATCCAGGAAGCTGACTTACGGGGACGGCCCGCGCAGTGGATGAGGATGCCTCGACATCCGCCCACGAGTTCGTGGTCAACAGCATGGAGGGCACTTTTCTGAGCTTGCAGGCTCGACGTTTCCAACAAGAGAGCCACCCTGGCATTGGACGTGTCCGTCGGGTACTATAGGGGCCGAAATACTATTTTGGGGGTTCCCTGTCATAGTTATAGTATAATATACCCCCNNTTCTAACTATTAAGGCCCCTAAATTAGGGATCCTTTTGCCTGAAACCTGGTTGCTTCTGAGCCTAAGCCCCAAGCCCTTGTAGAGCCATTTCCGGACCCCAAGAGTAGGCACCCTAAACGAAAGCCTAAACGACACCCTAAAAGAAAGCTTAAAAGACACCCGAAACCCCAAACTCAAACCCCAAAAAGACATCCTAAATGAAGGAAGCCCTGAAAGACACCCTAAACCCCAAGCCCGAAACACACAACCCTAAAAAGAAGCCCGACATAAAAAGAAGCCCGACATGCAAGAGACCCTAAAAGGAAACCCCCCCAAGGAAACATCAGAGCTTTGAGCCCTCAAAGATCCAGCGGCCCGAGGCACCATTGGGTTCGGGATTGGGGTTTCGTCTTCAGGAGTTTGGAGTTAGTGCTTAGAGTGTATAGTTCAAGATTTAGGGTTTTGGAGTTTGGGGTTTAGGATATGGTGTAGGGTTCAGGGGTTAGGGCTCAGGATGTAGGGTTCAGGATTTAGGGTTTAAGGTTTGGGGCTCAGGATGAAGGGTTTACGGTTTATGGAGGGACGCAGGATGAGCTTTACCGGATTTCGGATTTAGGGTGAGTGCAGGGTCTCGGTTAGGCTGTTAGGGTTTAAGTGTTTCGGAGGCCTCCATGGGAAGAGAATAGAAGCCCATAGTTTGGACACACTACAACTAGCCGGGATGGCAAGGTAACCAGGTAAGGTTTTCGATAGGCGTTTGCGGGTTCATTTTACTGAGGCTGTAGCAGTGTTTTCTCCTGTGGGCAGGTTGAAGTGTGTTGAGACTGTCGATGTTTGAGGTCAAGTCTGCATAGACCCTACCACCCACAAGGTCAAATTCCTAAGTCTACACTCCTGCACCGGCATCAAACATGCCAGAGAATCGATGGAGTTGCGAAGGCGGACACTTGATCTTGAACGCGGGAGATTGTGTGCAAGTTTTGAGTGAAGAGCCAAGCCACAACGGAAACACATCTATGAACTATGTGTTTGGCGAACGTGAAGGATCGCTATGGTGACCTTCCATTCTTCTCGCTCCACCTTGTGCTGGGCATTGATTCGCAACTTCCAGGGGGGTTGATCCCTTTTCTTGAGGACCCGTGAAACGATTCTGACCGTGAGAGAACGGAATCTTGTCTTTTGAACTCGGATCCCTAAATCTGCTGGCAAATCGAAGACTTAGCAAATTCACCAGACGTCCTCGCCTTTCTCCATGCAGCTCTTTTCAAACAATGCGTGGATTTAGCCACATGCGTGTTTCTGTTGTTTGAGATTTGGGCTCTATAGTTGGTTTAGGAGCAATCGGGGTTGGAGCTGGCTGTTCTTTATAGGATCCGTAAGGGAGGGTGGAGTTTAGGGTTTAGGGTTTAGGGTTTAGGGCTGTTCTTTATAGGATCCTTCAGGGAGGGTGGATCAAGAGGGAGGGTGCAAGGGATGCTGAAGCTACCTTGAGGGAATCTTAACAGAGTACTGGGGACAATCAGGGATTACTAGCTTGTCTACCCTTTTGTCAGACCCCCTCCCTCAAGGATACCATACTGCTGATGGACAAAATCCTGCATGACCTTATATACCTAAACTATGGGGTTTATGGTACTATACTATATTTGGGTCATGCAGGATTTTGTCCATCAACCGTATGTCTCTCTAAGGTCCCGGCTAGGGTGCCCCTGGGTCTGCTCTCTTCGGTCGGCTGTAGCTTTGAGATTTTTGGACTTGAGCTGCAGCCGTATATTCTCGCTTGGAGGATCATGGGACTTAGTAACTAGGCTTATTTTATAAGGTAACTATACTTATAACCCCAATTAGGGTACTTACAACCTTACTTACTAAGTCCCATGATCCTCCAAGCGTCGATGTGCTTTACCCTGCAGCGAGATGGTGGAACGGAAGATAAAGGGCTTTCGATGGGGTTTTGCGACTTGGTGTTCAGGCCCCTATAAGCCGTGCACCCTAACCTCTGAACCCTAAAACCCCTGCCTGTGTGGGAGTTCTGGTTGTGTTGTGGAGGGGTCAGCGAGCCCCTTGACTGAGTTCTTGTTTCCGGAAGGTATTTTCAGCTACTAGAATTGCGGAACAGTATTTACTACACATCCTTGTTCTGGTATCTTGAACTGAATTCCTCGACAAGAACCCAGTTGTTGTGGTGGAGCTCAGTTTGGTCAATACATGAATTTTCAGACACAGGTGCCTGCACGCTCTATGACGTGGCCTACAACCGTAGATTCATGTATCGCAGCGCAGCATCTCTGACGGGTAGCAAACCCCGACCCACCACACACTCCCAACGAGACTTTCTGCTGCTTTTCCAACTTCTACAACCTTTCATTCCTGAAGCCCGAAAGCTCTCAGCAAGAGGTCAAGCAATCCGAAAGAGACCTCCACGAAGCCGTGCAGCAGGCTGCAAACGAGCTGCGGGTTTGGGCGTCGCTAAACCAAATCCCAACCGCTGAGTTTCAATTTCCAACACCCTACATACGCATCCAAGCCCTACACCATTACCTGGACCCCAAAAGCATGTAGAATAATAGCCTTTAGCAGGCGTGGGGCCTTTGTGTTACTTACTTTTGGGGGGTCTAAGTGCACACCTGACACGGTGCTCTTCGCTTTGAGTTGGTCGCAAGCCGCTCCATGCCTCCTGTGACAGGGATGATTCCGGTTGAGGGTTTTGAAGTTGAAGGCTCCTAAACCCAAATGTTGTACTAGGGTCTAGGGCCTAGGTTCAGGGTGTCAGGGGTGTAGTGGAGTTAGGGTTTCGG